TCTCAGTACGGTAGCCCTCTAAGTGTTTGTTCCGTCCTGAGGCTGTAAGAAGCGTCTTTCCTATAGATTTCAAGGACCCATGGGCCCCGGCCAGGACTGGCATGGACTTCCAAAGCCGAGCAACTAGGAAACTGGTGGTCGATCAGTTCGGCGAGGGTTGCCTTGGTGGAGCTGGGCGAATCCCGACACTCGCCGTGATTTGCAGGGACACCAAGGATGAACAATATCGGTTATGGTAGCTGAGGGCTGAAACCAAAAACGCTTACCGGCGTCTGCCCGGAGATAGACCAAGTACATCGACCGTATGCTTCCGAACGCAGCCCGAACATTCAAGTAAACAACTTCCGAAAAGCGGGTGGGCCGATTCAGAAAACCAGCCGGGTGATTCAGACAGGCGGGTCGGAACACGGAAAGGACGCGTAGGGCTTAGACGGTTTTGGGATGCTGTGTTATTTCTGCCAGAGCCTCCTGACTTCGATTAGTCCTGTCGTTCTAACCCCTGAAGTTGGTTTTAATTTTGTGTGTTATAATGTAGATTGGACTTGTTTGCATCTCATCGCATCCCAAGTGTTGCTCCTTGCCATGGCAGTCATTGAATTGCACAAGCGTTTTAGCGAACACGCCATGCCACCGCTTCAGATGTTACGGCTCTCTTGAACCATAGGTCTTTGACCTCAAGCCCTTTAGAGAAGTTTGCCACACACACACACATACACTCGAGACGTTTCGAATATAGCCCTAGTGCATGTGATTTCGGCACGATATCCCCAACTTCCAAGAAGACTGAGCTAGAGTATAGTAGTCAAGCAAGAATTCGTATGATTCCTCCCCCCAAGCCTCAAACCTGTAATGAGTGCTTTTCGCTTGCACCGTGTCTTTGTCTAGTTACTCAAACATGCACAGCATGTCTTTTTCTGTCATAAGTTAGTCTTGTGGCTTGGAATGGTAACCACATTTGGCCGCTGATCCTGCCCCATCATCAAGCATCTCACTGTCAAAACCACCTCCAAAAACCCAAGACCAAAACCGTACGCCACATAAAAAAAGGATGAACTCGACCGTAGGAGCCTAACGTAGACGGAGCCTTCAACACCAAAAGGAAGACTTTCAGCCCTCCCAACGCCTTCGCCTCGATTCCACTCGTGGACGTCGCCGGACCATTGGTTGCCCCATTTTCCGGATGGGATGGCTGTGCTTCTTGGTTTAAGGATGCTTTGGTTTGATATTGGGATTAGAGGCTTCGGGTTTAGTGGCTCCAGCATTGAGGATTTGGGCTGGGGGCTCGGGGTGTCCAGCACGCTGGGCTCTCGTAGAAGCGGAGCGGGTGTATGTCGAGGTGTGTGGAGGTTTTCTCGTATATGTTTTGTGTGACTGGGTGTGCGGGTGGTTCTTTTCGTTTTCGAGGTGGAGGACGTAGTAAGCGAATGTTGCTATTGTCATTGTCGTCATTGTCGTGGTGGTTTGCGCAGTGCTTGCACTCGCTTTGGCGTGTTACCCTAGCCTCCCAGGTGCCTACTATATAGGGCCCGAGGGGCTTTAGGTTTGGGGTTAGTTACCTGTGTGCATTCGCCTCGTGGTTGTGGGGTTGGTGCCATCGGCGGCAGCGGGGGGGGATGGTGGAGGTGCCGGCTCCCTTGGTGACGCTGGGGGCAGCGGTGTCGTACTGGCACAGATGCTGGATTATGCAAGGCTGAAATGTCAGTCTTACAAGCTGGAAGTAAAATTCCAGCCTTGGTTGATGCTGTCTACGATTTGTGCATAGGTTTAAACAGGTTATTGGGAAATCTGCGAGGCTGGGATAACAATGGGCAGCACCGTGCAAACCCATGCGAGCCCTGAACTCAGGATGCAAATGGCGCCAACTGTGTCAACGGCGACGTCTCTGGTGGCACCATTCTTGCCTGGGACACCTCTGGTTTCGGCGACTGGCAAGGCTTCTGGAATCCGCTACTCGGCTCGGAGCTGAAACCAGGCGATTGAAGCGCGATTGGGGTCCTAAGTGTTTGAGGAATATTTGTAAAAAAGTGTACGCAACAGGGCCCAGCAGGCCATCGTGCGCCAAGCACAGTGGCAATTCCCACTAAGGTTGCTCACGCTCCTATACATCGACTTCATCGGCACCATGGGCTTCCTGTACGCAGCAGCAGACCTCAGTGGGCTCGTGGATCCGGAGAAGCCGGAGACCTTCCCCGGTTGCTACGCGGCCTTCATGGCGGATGCCGTCGGAACCTTTGTGGGTGGATTCCTGGGCACCAGCTCGGTTACCACATATGGCGAATCCATGGCTGGCGTCTATGAGGGTGGCCGCACCGGTCTTACCGCGCTCGTGATCGCTTTCCTGAACTTCATTTGCATCTTCATGACACCATTGCTCTCCTCCATTCCTACGCTTTCCACTGGGCCTGCATTGGTCATGGTGGGGGTCTTCATGATCGAAGGCGTGAAGGATATTGAGTGGACTGACTACATGCAAGCCATTCCCTCCACGATCTGTATCCTTCTGCAGATCACGACCTACAAGATCGAGGTTGGTGTCTTGGGTGCATTATTGGTGTGGACCTTCCTCATGATCTTCTCCGGCCGCATCTTCCTCTACATGCCTGCGGTCTGGGAGAAGCTCCCACCTGCCATGCAGCGATTCGTCTCCACCCAACTGGGGGACAAGGAGTTCCAACAGCGACTGAAGGAGGTCGGTGCACTCCCAGAGGAGCCAAAGAAAGAGCTGGGCGTCCTTCCCACGGCGATGGAAGAGGGGAAGCCGGAGGTTCGCCAAGCCTGGTGAGCTGGGCACGCAGTAGCCATGTGCGCGCGCGCGTGTGTGTGTGTGTAACGTGTGTGTGGGAGTTTTCAGGTTGGGGGGGCTGCGGCTAGGGGAGTCTAGCAGCTGCCAGTGAACTATGGGTAAGAAGCCGGCAAGCAAAACACACCCGCTAAATCCGGCATCCATGCCTTCCCCAAGATCCCACACTCTAATTTGCAGAGCAAGATCTGTGCTGCATGGTTACCTCTCCCGGAATTCTAGAGTGAATAACTCACAACTCTGTGTGTGTGTGTGTGTCAGTCTGTTTGTATGCATGTCTGTCTCTACGTCTATGTATGTCTTCATGTCTGTATGGATGTTCTTGTGTTTATGTCTGCCCGTCTCTATGTCTATGTCTGTCTGGATGTGTGTATGGAGTCAGATGGTGACAAGCTGATGACTCTGGACACCTGTATGCATTCATGTATGCACGTATAGTTGTATGTGTGTGCGTGTGTGTGCATGTGTCTGTCTGTATGTGGGTATGTACGGATTGTTATGCTATATTGCGCTGTGGTGGGTCATTTAAATTATATTCATATATACTGTTACACTGACTATATATGGCTGCTACGGTATGTTGGACAACGAGATGCATTGCCAGGCTATGCCTCGTTATATTAGTTGTGTCGTGTTGCGCGCTGTTATTATGCCATGTTCTGACATGTTATGTGGGTGGTTCGGGTAAGATGCAAGTGTCAAAGGAGGAATGCAGCGACAGAGTCTTGCCGCTGCCTGTAGGGAATTGCCACCCGGAGCCGCAGTTGCGATCTGGGGGTGTGCTCTCTAGCAGGCCGTACTATAACAAGTCTCCGCATAGCGCAAGAGACAAAAAAGCAGGGTGAAGAGAGCGCAACCCCAAACTAATGGCTTGGCCGTGGCTGGCGGTTTGGGCTTCGGGCTCCAGTCTGGGAGCCCTGTAATTCGCATGATGCCCCTTTCGGAAGGGAAATGCACTCTTGATTTTGACCCACGAATCTCCCGTTGGTGTGTGATAAGATCCGCTCTTGAAGGAGGGGAGTCTACGCCATCTGGCATCCGGAAATGTCGCTTTGCTTCCGGATGCATGATGGGATGTTAGGGACAAATGCCAGCGGTTGGGTCGAACCCAGCATACGCTTTTCGGGCAGAAGCAGTTTGGCTGAAGACTTAGCTTCGATGCTGCGGCCGGGCGGAATGAGGTCACATTCAGAAGAGGTGAGCGGACTTCAGTACACAAAAAGGTTCCTTCGCGAAATCTGAAAGTGAGAAAATGTGCAGCCGTGGTTCGAAGCATGTAGTTCTGTGTTGCAAGACCCGGTTCGCGTGCCGTCTCTTCCCAAGCCAGCGGCTTGCTCGGCAATGCTCCGGACGAAAAAGAGCAAACCGCACAGAGCCCGAACGATTTGAGACTATTCCTTAGGGTGCATGAACATAATTATTGCATAAGCTTCCCCCCTTCCGCATGTCATTTTGGGTCCTGAGAGACCTGGCAGAAGTAGACAGGCCAAATTTTATTTACAGGCTTCATGATGTAAGCAAACAGACGAGTATGAACAGCCTGCATATAATTTCAGAAGTTTGTAGAACTGTAGATGTGCATGTCGTGCGTGCGTGTCTGTGTGTGTGTGTGTGCGTGTGTCTCTCTCTGGCAGATGTTTATATTCTCTATAATTTTGTCACACAATAGTTTACGTATTTGCTTGGAGTATCTATGTACTATTTGCTAGCTTGTTTATATCTATTTTTACATAAATAAATATATAAATATATAAACATATATATATATATATCATGTGTGAATATATATATATATATATATATATATTCACACATGCTAAATATATATATATATCCACACATGCAGCCCTTGGGGACAGGTCCGGGAATTCTTGACCACGGGTCGGCCGGATGTCAAGGCTGCCAACGACAGAGCGAGCGGCCTCAGCAAGCCGTCGTTTAGGGTTTAGGGTTTATAGGGTTCAGAGTTCAGGGTTTAGGGTTTAGGGTTTAGGGTTTATAGGGTTCAGGGTTTAGGGTTTAGGGTTCAGGGTCTATAAGGGTTTAGGGTTTAGGGTTTAGGGTCTATAAGGGTTTAGGGTCTATCAAGGTTTAGGGCTTAGGGTCTAAGCTGTGGGTCTTGGGTTCAGGGTTTGTGTAGGGTTGAGGCCCCGATCGGAGAGGTTACACAAGAGCTAGAGAGTTGAGGAGTGGTTTCACCAGTGAGTCTGAAACTACCTATAGTCTCCATTGTAGTTCCTTTTGGGGGATACGTAGTTCCTTTTGGGGGATACCTTATCAACTCGTGAATCTTTGTTTGGTTAAACCAAAAAAAGGAACTACAATGGAGACTCAAGGTAGAGGCTCCGTCACGGTTTCGGGTTCGAGCTTGTTGGTTTCTGTTTTGGGGTCATACCTGCAGTCTCCATAGTAGTTCCTTTTTTTGGTTTAATCAATTATATATTGAGGAGTTTATAAGGCATCCCCAAAAATAAAGGAACTACAATGGAGACTATAGGTAAATTCCTAAGCAAAGCCGAAAACCTGCGGGACCCTCCTAGCAGACCGGAGACTGCAAAGTTTTCGAGAAAGAAGCACACCCAGAATTCAAAGGTTCTTGTGAGCAGTTTTTTTAAAGGCAGCGCTGGGGTTCATGAACGTGTTTGGTCCTCCGGGTTCTGTCGGAACAAAAACACATTCCGCATAGCACAGCTCGCTTGCGGGAATTGCCGAAACACACGATAAGCCATGCGGCAGTCGTTCACCACTAGACGTGCGGTCTTAGAGAATGGTGCCGAGGGCTTCTAGCTGTCTAGCTAGTTTACTTGAGATAAGAACTGATTTCGTCAGGGAAATCCTCCCAAAAGTATCCAAAAGTTCTGAAGCGGCCGCAGAGCATTTGGGCTCTTGGCCATTCCAGCACGCTTCTTCAACCCGTTTGCAAGCTGTCTGAAAATTAGACGAGCCTGGACGGGAGATGTGCATTTACGTCAGGCCTTGCAAGTTCTACGGTGAAGATGACCCTGGCATCGGTTCAGAGATGCCGCCTATCGAAGGCTTAGACGGGACTAGCATGCCAATGTCAAGAAGTGGGTTATCATCGTACTTGCACCATGTACCGTACTCCCGCACCCAACATCCTGAGTCTGGCTGAAAGAAGAGCCGCGGTTCACTTCGTTGCCATCAGATATAGCGAAGACCAGTAGGTCACCCCTCTGAACACAGCCTCGGAGCTTGACTCTTTAAGCCCAAGCCCTCGCACCCCAAACCCTTCTTCAAGACCCCTGAATTCTGTGTTTTCCGTGACGCCCATGGAGCCAGATGTCCTTCCTCCAGTCCTTGCGCAACCGCAACCTGCCTGAAGCCATGCTAATGCGTCCCATGCAGACAGCTTGAGGATCTCTGCTGCAGGCCCAAAGGGTCTAAGTACCCATATAGTAGGTATTTTGGGCCCCAAAGTATCTACCATATTAGTACTTAGACCCTTTGAGAGGGTTCACAAGAGCTTGCAAGTCTAAGGGTGCTAGGTGCAACTGGTGCGGAGTGTGTGTCGGTGTATGTACATAATACACGTTTCACGAGAGGACTGCGCTGTGGTTGCCCGTGGTCACTTGCTCTGCTTAGCAGGGTTCAAGCGTACATAAAGTGTCAGTAACAGTGAGGCTTGAAGGATCAATATTTTTGGGTAGTTCCACTCTGTTGTATGTTACAGTTTGTTAGTGGTATACATCGGGGTAAGAAGGCAGACAGATCAAGACGTGAAAGTTCTGAGCGGCAGGGATCCGATATGCAGGATTGCCAGGCATCGAAGAGGGCTTCGGCAGGCAGGCTTATACGCATGCAGACTCATGTCTGTCTCGGACTGAGCCTGTTAGGGTGTGAAGTTACCGATTGCAAGCGAGCTTATAGCATGTAAGCAGGAGAGAGGCTCCTGCGCTGGTTTGATGAGGCGCCGGGCCTAACCGGGTCCTCGAGTTTAGTGCGTTTCTGAGTTATGGGTCTTGGAGTTGTTGCTTCTACTAGGCCTCTTCAGTACCGATGAAGTCGACAGTTCCGGGTTCGGGAGCAGGAGGTCTAGTACCAGGGGTTGCAGGCAAGCAGGCCTCAGCTAGTGAGACGCTACGCCACTAAACTCCTAAGCCTCATCCTTAGGTCACTGTGGTCGAGGCTCTTCGTGTTCGGATCTAACTTTGGGTGCTTGGGCCGCGACTGCGGCTTTCGAGGGGTGCACTTAGGTTTCGGTTTCGGTCTTTGCTTTCTTCCAATATCCCCCTCGGGCCAACCTTTGGTTGGCCAGGCTCTTTTAATTTCGAGGCTCCTTCATCGCGGCGCATCAGGATGTGAAAGCCGGGTGTGGGCATGTCAAGGTGCCCCAGTGTTTGTGGAGGGGTGTCTGGGCTTGAACGCTGCAAGGTTCTTGTCGTGGGATCAAAAGCAGATCAGTTCATCCATAAAGCTTCCCGCTCCGCAGAATCGAAACAAGTGAAAAAAAAAACAGATTGCCGGATTCCCGACATTACCCCACCGAAAGGCAGAGTCCTTATGTCAAGTCATCAAGCGGGTGCCGCCCTAAACGTACAAGAGAAGATCCAAGAAAAACTCAAGGGGACAGTCCCCTGAAGGCCGCAGCAGGACTGCTACTAGGCGCGATTTGCTTCAAGGTTCTGGGGCCCTCATATACCCCCAGTCCCCGATCTGAAAGCTCTCAAAACCCTAAACCC